TGTGTGAGGGTCACAGAAGCCCTCCCCTGCAGGGCAGCTTGGGTTCTTCCCATGAGCAGTTCAGACCTGCTTTTCTCCTGCAGATGACGGGGAGTCTGCTGGGGTTGTGGTGTGTCCGTGCACTTAAGCCAGGCAGGGCTGCAGGCAAATTGAAAGCACGTGGGGGTCGGCACAGTGGGACCATCTTGTGGCCCCTCTACCTTCTGTTCCCACTGCTGACCTGCCTGTCCCCATCTCCACAGAGTGGTCATTCATCTCTGGATCCCAGGTCCTGGCCACTTGTGAAAGGCTTGCTGAACCAGCGACTCTACAAGTGAGCGAGGGGGGAGTGTTTGCTTCACTGCCTGGGGGGAACCTTCCCGCCGAGTGGCGATGCTGGGAAGTCACACATAGAAACTGGAAAACAAGGGGCCTCGTTGTGCAGACGAGGAAACCCAGGCAGGAGATAAAGTCACTTGCTGAGGAACTGGAAGAAGCAGGATCTGAAAGGGACGTAGCCCTTGCCCCTGTCTGTTGTTGGACGTGCTCAGGGAGCCCTGGAGTGAGTTATCGGGAGGACAGTCATTAGGAGAACGTGCTGTTTGCTTCATATGTACAAAGCACTTTCCTGAAAAGGAGCCCTTGGGTGCTGTGAGGCAGCTGGGGCAGGCATTAGTGTCCCGGTCCCCAACCCATAATCTAGAGGAGTCCCTGATTTGCCAGGTGTCACACAGTGAAAACTTTTTCCAGCATGTTGCTTGGAGCCCAGGTCCCCCAAAGAATGGACCACTTTAAGGATATTCCCAGTCTTGGGAGGAGCCTGGGGAGGGGGCTTCTGTTCAGGGTCCCAGGTGAAGGGGCCTGGCCAGGAGCGTGCGGCCTACCTGCAAGTGTGTATGAATGCTTGCTTGTGAGGACATGGTGGCAGCTACTGTCACACAACCCAGGTCTGGCTCACCTCATGGGAAACCCCATGCCACAGACAGGATGTGGGGAGAGGGAGGCTGGTCCGGTGGCCCAGGGCTGGAGAGGTGGGCACTCTGCTCTCAGAGGGGACAGACATGGGACCAACGAGAGCGGGAGCTAGGTCGGCTGATAAAGGGGAGGAGGGCCATGTCTTTTCTGGAGCTGGGCAGCAGTTGTCCAGGGACTCGGGGCCACCTCTTTCCCTCCTTTCATGGTCTAGCATTTCTGCTTGCGGCGACTGGCAGTTGTCCTTGTCCTTGAACGGGGAGAGAGAGCCTGGGCAAATCTGTCCAGGTCAAGGTGACCCTGGATCCTGGTTCCAGACAACGTCTCTCCAGTGATCATATGGCCCATGCAGAACTGAGCAGAATCTGTCCCCAAGGTTCAGGACACCACGGAGACGAACACAACCTGAAGACAGAGGCGCCAACCAACTTCCTCTTGTTCCGGTCACCCTGATGGACGTCTGCAGGCCCAAGTGAAGAGTCTCTGTTTGGGTGACAGTGGCCTGCCTCAGGTCCCTGAAGAATAACCCATGGCCTCCACAGCAGAGGTGACAGAGGTGTCCTCTACAGCAAGCTAATGGGAGACAATGGATTGTCCACTGTGTGACCTCTCAGATTAGCAACTTTTAAGTCAGCTAAAAGCAAGTGACGCTGGAGGGGCTGTTGGGGCTTTTCCTGGGAACACGGGCATGTCCCAGCACAGTGCCAGGCACGGGGGCTGGGAGCTGAGCTGATCAGGGACCTGCTCTTCAAAAAAACATGGGGCGGCAGATGCACATGCCAGCGTGAGCATTTGTGTGGCCAGGCTGCTGCAGCCGAGGATGGCCGGGGGCAGTGCAGGCCCAAGGGTCACAGAGAGGCTCTGCAGAGATGCAAAATCAGCCTGTTTAAAATGCCCAGTTGTCCGCTGTCATCCTGGAGGTGAGAGCCCACCTGGTCCCTGCGCTCCTGGTGCTCCCTCCTGTCTCTCCGCCTCTGCGCTGTGTGTAGAGCGACCCCTGGTGGCAGCCGCCACACCCGTCTTTTCACAGTTTGGGAATGGCAGGCAGCCGCTTGCACCTGGGCAGGAGGCGTCGGCCACTCACTGGAGCAGCAGGCAAGGGCTCCAAGAGGCAGCGCCAACAGTGCGAGACAGACAGCGAAGCCACCCTTTGTAAACCACATGAAAGGGGGTAATGGACAGTGAGCTCACGAGAATTGTTACTGTTTTAAAAATAAATGCAAATAAGCAAAACCTTGAGACTCCATTTTCTTTTATGCATTTGCCAAATGTTAAAGGCACCTGCTGCTGCACAGGGCCTGAGCCACTGCGGGCACAGATGGGCAGAGCCTCTTGGGAAGGCTGTCAATCAAGGAGCACTCCACACCTGTGCCCGAGGCTCGCGCTCCCAACTCACAAGCCTGTCTGCAAAAGGGGTGCAGAGGGCGTGAGGAGCGGCTATGGCGATGTCCTTCCCAGCGCTGTTTATAGGTGGCAAAAATTGGGGACAGCCTAGACGGAGCTGCTGGATAATGCCAGGCAGGCTGGACAGCAGAGTCTCAGGGAAGCCACCCAGGACCACACCCCGGAACTCAGGGAGAAACGATCCTTCTGGGACTTTTGATGAAAAATGCAGAAAACCAAAAATTATATTTTGAATAAATAGAATTTTAAGCTGTCTGTGCATAGGGAATGTCTCCACCTAGCGTCTAGAAGGGTGCCTTCCAACACATGAATGTTTGTGTCCAGATATCTTTGTATTCCTTGGTTTCTTCTTTTTGCTTATCTTTCAAAAAATTTCATATTAAGGATAAAATAAGATAAAGTTACAGACAAGTGTTTCCTCTGTGTTGAAAGCAGGAAGGCTGACAGGCTGATCAGTGCAGTGCAGGAGAGGAAAGTCCAGGGGCAAGCTCTGCTTTCTCTCCCATTGACTTGCTGTGTGATTTTGGACAAGTTGCTCTCCCTCTCTGTGTGTTGACTTCATCATTTATGAAATGAAGGGGGTAAGCTAGACAGTGGATAACTTCAGTATGCACTCTTCTGACCCTCTGGATGATCCCCCAAGGGAGGGATATGTGTGCATTTATCCCTGCTGTGTCCCCAGCTCTAAAACATGGCCTGCCTGGTAGCTGGTGATCAGTGAGCATTTGTTGGATTGAACTGGAGCCACCTGGTATTGTAGCACAATCCAAGCAGGATTGGCCGTGAGCACAACGGTCCCCATGTCCACCTTCTTGAGATGGGACCTGTGATCTCTGACTCCCTCCTTCCCTTCAGCCCCTCTCCTCCTCCTTCTCACTTGGAGTCTGTCTCTTCCTCTCTCCACCCCGCCCCTTCTCTCTCTCCTGCTTCTCATCCACTTTCTTTCCTGCATTCTCTCTCTTTAATGATGGCCTCAAGGTTTGCATAAGAGCATTTAAGTCAAGTGGGAGCCCAGTGGATAGAGACAGTGGGGGACGGGCTGGGGCTGGGGCTCAGCGGTGGAGCGCGAGGCCCTGGGCTCCATCCTCAGCGTAAAGATAAATAAAGGTATTGTGTCCACCTACGACTAAAAATTAAATATTAAAAAATGAGACAGGCGGTGAGGGACAGTTGCAGGCCCACCCGTTGGGACACAGGCTGGTGCCCCCGGTCCGGCTCCCGGTACTGGTTTCCACAGTTGGGATCGAGATTCCAGCTGGTTCTGCTGAGAGTCCTCGGGACATGCCACGATGTGGCCAGGGTCAAGGTCCCTGGGTTTTTAGCAGACAAGGGCCTGAGCATCCTGTGACCCAGAAGAATAAGCTGGAGTGAGGGAGAGGCCATGAGGAGGATCATGGGGGCTTCGGTTTGGGGAGGGAAGGGAGGCTAGAGGAAGCCTCATTGAGGGTCTGGCTGGAAGTTTAGGAGAGGCTGAGCCCCTTCCCACCGAGTCCCTTATTTACTGCTGTTTCATGTGACATGGGAGACCCGTCACAAAGCCAGTTTGCAGAGGAGGGGCAGGATTCAGAGTGGCAGGCTTGCCAGGGCCCCTGGGTCCCACTCGGCCCCAGCCCTGACCTCTGACCCTCAGCCTCTGTTAGAGCACAGGTGGGCTGGCGCGGGGTGGGCAGGAGGCCACAAAGGGGCTTCTCGCAGTGCAGGGGAGGAGACCAGTGGGCTGGAGACCCAGTGTCCTTGTCAGTCCCGGGCTCAGAAGCCGGGTGGGGCGGAAAGGCAGGACTGAGCGGGGACAGGGCAGGTTTGCCCAGCAGGCGGCAGGCCGGCCCTGCCAGCAGAGCCGCAAACCAGGGGAGATTGAGGACCCACTGGGCAGGCCAGGAGGCTGCTCTGAGAAGGGCCAGGGTGCAGAGGTCAGGGGACCCACAGGACACGGGTGACCAGGACAGCCGTGACAGCCCTGGGGACCTCCTGCGCTCTCCGTCAGCACAGGGTGGATTCTGTAGGCTTGCAGGGCAGAGGGCGCCCAGCGGGTCTCCCTGGTGGCTGTGAGAAACGAGGAGGGAACCCAAAGGACAGCAAGAGGAACTTGCAGGGGCCCTCTAAGGCGGGTGTTCCCATCTGGGGACAGGTGAGGAGGGGACAGGGCATTTGATCCCTTCTGTTTCCCCCTGGCTTTGAGCAGCACCTGGCGCCTGTCAGAACCTACCCACTGCGGACTTGACCGTGCACTAGCAGGTCCCAGCTGCCCGCCTTCCTGTGTGTTCTGCCTGCACCTGCCGCGTGCGGGCTGAGGGAGGTCCAGACCAGTGTCCCTGGGTGGTCCTGGGACCTGCTTGGCCTCGTAACTTGACAGTTGAAGAGCAGGATCGTGCAGAACCTCTGGGCCTCCCTCGGTGGGACATGGCCAGAACCGCAGAGGAAGGAGGGCTGGGACACTTGGATCCCTTCATGGAGCCCAGAGGCATCTTGCCTGGACAGACAGACTCCTCTGAGGACAGATGCCGCCCCTGTTATCTATGGAAAGGAGCCCAGGTGCCAACTGGAGCAGCGGGGCCTGGTGGGCCTGGCGCCCGGGTCTGCAGAGCGGAGCAGGGCACCCTCCCGCCAGGGCACCTGCTGTCCCTAAATCCTTTGCCTTCCTCCAGGGTGGCCTGGGCCGCGCTCAGGATGCCTCGCCATGCCAGCCCAGGGAGGGGGCGCTGGGTCCCTGCAGCCACGGCCGGCTCGACGGTGCCCAGGGACGTCAGGCCTTCGCAGGTTTGTGGGTGCTGCGGTGCGTGGAGGTGGGGGCGCCTGAACAACCCCCAGCACAGGGTCAGCCCCTCAGTGTGCAGATGTAGGGGTGGGTGGCCTCCCCCTCTACTGACAGGAGCTGAGGCTCAGAGAGGCAGTGCCACTTGCTCAGTGTCACACAGCCTGGGAAGGTCGGACCAGAGTCTGCAGTGCCTGTGAGGCGTCTTTGACTTTGCCACATCTGGGCAAGTCAGACTCACGCCCTCAACCCTGGAAGGGTGGCAGCCAGGGGCCCTGTCACGTCAGCAAGGTGGCTGCAGGGCCTTGTCTTCACACAGGCCCTGTGGTGACCAGGAGCTGCTGCCTGTCCCCATAGGTGGCAGGTCAGGTGTGAGGACTGAGGCTCACACCTGGCTGGGCTGGCAGCTGCTACCTTGGAACCCTGTCCCTAATCTGTCCCTCAAGAGAGCCCTGCGTCTTAGGACAGGCCCAGGCGTGACTTCTAGGTTCCCTGCCACTAGGCCGGGTTCACAGTTCAATCAGAGCCTCCCTCAGGGCCAAGTGCAGCTCAGGGGGCGTCGCCTGCTCCCTCCACGGTGGGGGGTGCCACCTCCTTGGCCCAGGACACAGAGCTGCCAAGTGAACCCAGGTCCCAGCTGGCCCTCCTGTGTTTGTCCCTCTGTCCTCGTGACGGCCGTGCAGGGCTAGGCAGGCCATAGCTATGGCCCGCTTGACAGATGAGGACGCCAGGGTTGGAGGCTGGGGCTCCGCCCAGGGCGTGAGTGCTGCATCTGTGGCCCTGGGCCGGGGTGGGTGGCCTGGAGCCGGTTTCCTCTGCTCAGCTGCTGCTGGTCATCTGGCCTCTCTGGGCCTCAGCCTCCTCCCTTGACAGAGGGGGTGGGGATCACCAGGCCACCCCAGGAGCCATCATGTGCTCCAGCCCTGGGGAGGAGCTCTGTCTTCTCCTGGCAGCGGGTGGTGTGGTGGCTGGGGACAAGCAGGGGAAGCTGCTAGGGGTCTTTCCAACCCGGGCCGTGTTGCTCCCAGGCCAGCCCTTGGAGGGACCCGGCACCTGCATCTGCGCTGGAGCTGGGCCAGGCCCCGAGAGCGTGGGCGAGCTGTCAGAGGGCCGCACAGGGTCTGCCCGTGAACAGGTGAGGCCTGAGGCTTGGCGTGTGCCCCGCAGGGTGGCCACCTGCGGCAGCTGAGGGGGTGAGGAAGCTCTGCATGTGGAGGAACGTTCTGGAGACGTCGAGAGGGAGACCTGAGGGGATGGACTGCCTTGTCCTGGGACCTGGCTGGGGAATGGGAGGAAGGGGAGCCCCATGTGGACCTGGGCCCGTGGCCACACAGAGGGACCTCATGGAACCCCGTCCCCCAGCACCTGGGAAAGAGCCGAGGAGGCCTGACTCCCAGGGCCGCCAGCCCCAGTGCCCAGCCAGAGCCCCAGTCTCCTCTGCCACGGCCCACCCCACCCGGCCCTTGAGGTCAGGACCCACCTGCCCTGAGGCCGTGGCCAGTCACTGCCCATCTCAGTCAGGCCACCTCTGACTCCCTGGCTGGAGTCCCCTATCTGATCCCCCCCTTCCCTGTGGCCTGGGCAACATCATTACCTTAGAGAAGCCTCGGGCTAAGACATTCGTCCCAGGTCCTGGGCAGGAGAGGACTGCTCTCCCTGCGGCGGCCAGCTCGAGGGCCCTGGTGTCCTTCTGGCCATGTGGAGAAGAGCCAGAGCGTGTGTGGCGGGGGAGGTGGCACCGAGACCGTCAGGTGAGGTCGGCTCCACGCTGATGGCTCTTTCCATCCACAGCCTCTGGCGGAGCCCAGCCTGGATGGACAGACTCTTCTCCTGGTGTGTGGTTCTTCCCCAGCGCAGCACATGGACGGGTCGCTCATCGCCCTGGACCTGGCCTGGGTTTCAGAGGGCCTTAGAGACGCCCAAGCCCAGGAGCCCTTTCTCCAGGTGCAGACATCCACGCTTCCGCTCCGGGGCCTGGCTGGGGCCCCTGGGCTCCTGCTGCCACTGCTGTCCCAGGAAGCTCCCCCAGAGGAGCTCCAAGACCTGCTGGACACCAGGTCCACCCCTGCCCCCAGTGCTGCGGCACATCCCAGCTGGTGTTGTCACCAGACAAGGAGTCCCGACGCCTCCCCGCGCCAGGGGTCTCCATGCACTTCAGATCCCCCATGTCCCATGGAAGGGTCCAGCTGCAGAGAAGACACTTGGAACAGGGGAGGAGGGACCCCAGCAGGGGGAGCTGGGCACGGGGAGGCGAGGACCTCGGGCAGGATCGAGGGAGAGCTTGGTGGCAAATGCCAGCCAGGTCAGGAGAGCTGTGAGGACCCGAGTGTGGGGAGTGGGGTCTGCTCTCCAGGGGGCGTGGGGGACCAGAGTGTGACTTTGGAGACACAGGCCACTGCCTACTGCCCTTGGCTCTGGCAGGAGTGTCCAGCGCCTCCTTTGCAGGGGGAGGACTCCACAGAGGAGCCTGAACCCCTGAGCAGGAGGCAGAAGGTGGGAGGCTGTGGCCGGGGCCTCCTGGGAGGACTGTCACCAGAGGAAGAGGCTCACGGGACTAGCGCTCCACGGCCAGCTGGTGGTCAGCTCCCTGCAGGGAGGAGCAGAGCCCTCGAGAGGTGGGTTCCAGGCAAGCAGGACAGCCGACCGGGGTGTGGAAGTGCTCTGCGTTCCCCAGAGGGAAGCCCTGGGGCTGGGGGACAAGAAGAGGAGGAGGAGAAGGGGCTCCGTGGAGAAGCCTCCAGTCTGGGGAATGGGCCTGTGCCCCGGGAGCTGGACTTCAGGCAGTGCCAGGGCAAGGAGACACTTCCCTCGGTGGCAGGGTGTGGCTTGCCGCAGTCTCCCAGACTGGCTGTTCCAGGTGAAGACACTGGTCCCCCTCGGGCTCTGAGCAAAGGACAGGATAGATATTCTCTCCAAATAGATGCACTTGAGCAGGACGTGGAGGCCTGTTTCCAGCAACTGAACACCCTGAAACTTGGCAGCCGGGGTCACCAGCGGGAGATGGCCCTCGTGGTGGGAGAGAACTGGAGCTTTGCTCAAAGGAGGCAGAGCAGAGGTGAGGAGAGTGGAGAGGCCACCAGCCTCGAACAGACTGTGGCCCGGGACACCAGCAGAGCTGTTGCAGGGACGTCCCCTGATCAGGAGGAAGCCAGCCTGGACCCTGCAGAGCTCCACGGGGACGCGCTCTCCACACTCTGGCACACCCTCGAGAGGGCCAGGGCCACGTTGCATCAGCTTCTTTCCTCACTGAAGAAAGAGAGGAGCCCGGTCTTATGTGACAGGGCTGCACCTCGGGAAGACCTAGGGGGATGCTCTCCTAAAGCTTGCCATCTCGAGGCAGAGGGCCCGCGACGCGCAGCCCGGGTGTGCCGCCTCCAGCAGGCCAACCGGGCGCTGGAGGGAGACCTGGCCCAGCACAGGAGGGAGCTGGGCCAGTACGCGCAGGCCATTTCCGACCTGGAAGAGTGCAATGCGCAGAGTTACGGCAAGATCTCGGAGCTCGAGGAGGAAAACGACAAACTGAAAAGGGATCTGGGCCAACTCCGGAGGGCCATGTCCCAGAGCGCCAGGGAATCCCGCGGCCCCGGGGAGCACGTCGCCCTGGAAAGCAGGGAGCTCAAGGCACCGATTTCGCAGCGTGGGGTCAGCTATAAAGAGCTGGTAAGGGGTGTGGGGCTGGGGGTGGAAGGCAGGGTCCGGGCCTCCCAGGGGGAGAACGAGCGCCTTCTACGCAGGGTCCGAGCCCTGGAGCAGGAAGTGGCCTTGCAGACCAGGGGGGACAGGGCACGCTCGTTGGGAGGCCGTCAGCAACCCCAGGAAAGCACCAAGGCGGCGGTGGACAAGGTGTGCACCATGGACAGAGGGGTGCAGGTGACTCCCCTCTCGGGGCAGCAGGTCACAAGCCCCTGCGGGCCACCCTTGGAGGAGGCAGTGGGCGTCCCTGGAGGGCAGACAGGCCCTGCCTCAGACCTGCAGGATCCCGGATGTGGCGCTGGTTCTACTGCTCCATCACTGGTCAGGAGAAATGCTGACGTCCCCCGTGTCCTGCGAGGAAGGGGCGGAGCAGGAGGAGGAGCAGCATGTTTGGAGGGAGAGGAGAAAAGGCCATGGTGTTCCCACCAAGGGCACGCTCTGAGGACCTCATGCAGCGGCCCCCAGGTAAGTGGACCTGCTGGCCTCCCTGGTGCTGGCTGGCTCCAGGGCCCCCTGCAGACCCAGGTATTCCTCCAGCATCCCTGGGGGGAGGTGCCATCACCAGCCCCCAACAGGTGACTAAACACAGGCACAGAGAAGTGAAGGGTCTTGCCCAAGGTCACACAGCAGGTGAGGGTGGAGCTGGGACTTGCCCAGGAGGCTGGCTCCAGATCTCCGTGTGTCCTACGGTAAGACTTCAGCCTGCCCTCCATGGGCCCCGAGGAGCTCCCCCACAGGACGCCCAGGAAGGATCCCCCCATGCCCCCGTGTGCTGGTCCTGCCTGTGGGACCCTCAGTGCTGAGCCCGTGTCCACTCGGCCTTCTCGCTCAGTCTCTCCTTTCCACTCTCGGGCACCCTTCCTCCTTCTCCCGTTTCCTTCTCCCTCCTGCCCCTCCCCTCTCCCCCCACCTACCATTTATCCCGTTTCAGAAAACCAACTTCTGGTTTTACTGATTTTCTTTATGGTTTGCTTGTGTTTTACTTCGCTGGCTTTTTCTTACATCTTCCTTTTCTTTGTTTAATTTGCTCTTCTTTTTCTTGCTTCTTGTGTAGAAAGCTCAGATCATTGATTTTTCAACTCTTTTTTATTTTTTGTAATCTATGCATTTAAAGGCCTAATTTTTCTAAGCATCCTACTGATTTTTTTTTAAAAAAATATTTATTTTTCAGGTGTAGTTGGACACATGCCTTTATTTATTTATTTACTTTTATGCGGTGCTGAGGATCGAACCCAGGGCCTCGCGTGTGCTAGGCGAGCCCTCTAACGCTGAGCCACAACCCCAGCCCCCATCCCACTGATTTTGACTCGGTGTCTGTTCAGTTCAAAGTACTGTAGCTTCTAATATCTATTGTGATCTCTTTGACCCAGGGTTTATTCAGAAACATGTGACTTGATTTCCAGGTTTCTGGGGGAGTTATTGGCTTTATTTTTGTTACTGAGTTCTAGTTTTACTTCATGGTTATCAGAAAGCATGTACGATATTACTTTACTTTTTTTGAAACTTATTTAACTTGTTTTATGGACAGGGTATGGTCTATTTTGCTGAATATCCCACATGCCCTCATAAGCAATGAATACCCTGCAACTGGCGAGTACTAGTTAGTGGTACTAACTAGGCTGGGATGACTGCATCTTCTCATCTTCACTAGTGTGTGGTCTGTTCTCTTTGTCACTTACCAAGATGCATTTCAAGATCTCCAAGTCCGAGTGTGTGTTTGTGTATTCCTTCCTTCAGTTATGTTGTTTTTCACCGCCATATTGTGATGTTTAAAATCTATTTGCTATTTTTTCTATTTGTCTTATCTACTCTGTTTCCTTTTATTCTTTCTTTCAGGACTTTGCTTTTGGTGTTAGTCTCTTTTTAAATCATTATTGATTATTCCCTTTCCTCTCAGTAGCTTGTGGTATCATGCATTCTAGTTCATTCTTTTAGTGATCACCCAAGAAATTCCAAATGTATCTGTTGATTACCTAAATATTTCTTAAATTTGTATTTTCGCCACATCTCGGATTATGCAGAACCTTTATTTGGGTCCCACTCCCGTGTGTGGCACACCTGTCCCCTCGCAGCTGTTAGTGGTCACGGATCGGGTTGCCCTCCTGTCTTTCTGGCTGTGCTGTTTCTCACTCTTCCTTGCCCGGGTCTGGTTTCCTTCTGCCTTAAGAGCATGCTGAGGGCTTCCTGGTGATTGACTCTTCATAATTCTTTTTATGAAAGCAATCTTTTTCACCACCCAATTTAAAACACGGGGTTGTAGGCGGCCCGCCTTCTCCCTTCCTTTGTAACCTTAAAAGTCTCGTTCCACTGTCTCCTGCCTCCCGAGTTCCTGTCCAGGGATCTGTTACAGTGACCATTTTCACTCTGAAAGACGTGTGTTGCTTCCTTTCTGGCTACTTTTCACATTTCCTTTTTGTCTGTGGGTTTGTTTTGTGGGCAGCTTGACTGGATGTGTTTGGGTGAGGGGGTATTTGTGTTGATCCTGGGTTTTTCTGAGATTTTTGAAGTTGAATATTCATGTCTTTTATCAGACTTGAAAAATTCTTGCTTGTTATTTCTTCAAATATTTTATTCTGCTTTATTTTTCTCTTTCCTCCTAGATATCTAGGGTTTTGGTCTGAATATCACATCTTTTGAAAACGGTTATTTTTTTCCTCCTTGTGCTTCAGGTTGCATTTCTATTGACTCATCCTCTAGTTTGCCAATCCTATGTTCTACTGTGTCAGGTTTTGTTAATCCACCCAATGAGGTCCTAATTTCAGTGATTGTATTTCACAGGCCTAGAGAATCCATTTTATTCTTTTTTTTTTTTTTAAAGATTCTGGTTGTCTATTGACACGCTCCATGTTTTTATTCATTTTGTTCACCTTTTCATATGAAAAAGTGAGATCATAGTTATTTTTCAGGTCTTTCTTATGTGCTAACTCCAGTATCTAAACCATCTCTTTGCCTGCTTCTATTGGTAGTTTTACTTCTTGGTGAACATTTACCTGCTTCTTTACCTGTCTAGTAATCGAAAGAACTTTTTTGCTTGACTTTGGGGGGTTGTGGAGATTGCTGATGACCATTATCCTCTAGAGAGGGCGAATGGGTTCTGTTCTGGCTGGCCACTGGACGTTTGACAGGTTGTCGACTGACTGATCAGCAGGTCGTCTTATTCCCCGGCAGGTCTCTGGCAGCCCCAGGGCTTGCTGTGACTCCCAGGGTGTGGCCTTCTCTCTAGGTCGGGGGCCTTTCAGTGGCTTCAGCTCAGTGTGCAGAGCCTTCACTGAAGCTGTTCACCTTGCTTTGGCCAGAGTGCTGCCATCATCTTGGTGGCATCTCGGAGCTCTCTTGCGCAGCAGGCCTCCCAGCGGCTGTCCCCTGCAAGGTTCTCAGTCTTGAAACCACACAGGCTGTGATTCAGCCGAGGCCCTGAGGGGCATTTCTAGGACAGTGTCTGGGTTTCTTCTCTGTTTGTCCCACAATCCCCAGCTGTCTCAGCATCCCTGAGCTCAGTCCCTTGTCCCTGACCCAGAAATGCTACCACTCTCATCAGGGTGTTCTTTTCCTTAATAAATGTTTGAAAACATTTCAGAGAGAGACCCAGGGAACTTGGAGGGAACTTGCCCTATTGTATTCCTTTTTCTTGAGATCTGTGGTCCTGCTTGGCTACCCTCCGGTGTAGGCGCAGAACTATTTTTATGTGTTCTCCCCGATCCCGTAGTTTTCCGATACCAGCTGTTCTGACCTGGGGCGGACTGGGATCTAAGGAGGCGACTATGGAGCCACAGCTTCCAAGGTTGGGAAGAAACGGTGGGGAGGGGATGCCAGGCAGGGGCCAGGCTCTGCGGCAGTGGGGAGCCAGGCTTGCTGAACAGGAGGGGGCTGGTGCGACTGGGCAACTGTGGAGCAGCCGAGGCTGGGAGGAGGCGAAGTTGGAGAAACTGTCCCGAGAAGGATCCCAGGAGGCTGCTAGGCTCCCGCTGACCATTCTGAATACAGTGGGATTTTGAGCAGGAGAAATACAGGACCGAAGGCATGAAAAGTGACTGCTGCGAGGAGAGGGGACAGTGGGCTATGGGGAAGCAGTGGGCAGAAGGAGTCTGGGCTCTGTAGACAAGAGGCGTAGCAGCTGAGGACCTAGGTCAGTAACTAAGTAGAATCCGTGGGACTGGGGTTGGACAGAGGAAGGGGTGAAGAAAGTCCCCCTTTCTGTCACCCTTAGTCTCAAGCCTGGCCATGCCACTCTTGGGCCCAAGACCCTCCTGCAGCCGCTCACGTGAGCAGTGCCCTGGCCCTAGGCTCTACAAGATTCAGCTCTGCCCACTGCACTCCCGGGGGCCATCGGCCTGGATTCTCTGCATCCCTCACCTGCCCTCTCTGCACCCCAGCTTCCTCCTGGCAACTGCTGCCCACCCTTAGGACTCGTTTTGGGGGGCAGCCCTCAGCCTGGGCTAGGGGAAGAGGGTGTTGGAGCTGACTCGTGCTCACCTCTCTCTCTGTGTGTGTTCACTGCGTCGTCTGGGTGGCTTGCAGCCAGTCCCAGTGGGAGCTTTGACACCGTGGGACTGGGGCACAGGCATTGCCCTACCATGGACCTTGGTGCTCAGCCTCCTGCAGGCTTCTGAAGCCTCCAGTTGCCCTTTACCACACGGTGTTAATTGCTTGTGTCTGTATCAGTCTTCCCACCTGCCAGAGTTCCTTGAGGGAAACATGTCACCACTGTCCCCAAGGCAAGTTCAGTGCTCAGTCAGAGCGTAGCTCACATGTCTGCCTATAGAGCAAGCTGGGTGACCTGCAGCCAGGCCCTGACCCTCATTCTCTTGAGAGGTTGCTGTGCACACTTTCCTAGGACCTGTGGGGACAAAGCCCTTGTCCAAGTCACTGCCAGAGGGGGGAGGCAACAGTGAGACACCAACTTCCCAAAAGGCCAAGTTGTTTTGAAGTCTTGGAGCTGAATTGGATGGAAGCATTCGGAGCACCCATCTGTTCTTGACAGGGCCCAGCCTGTGAATCTCAGGCCCACGCAGCGTGAATTTCTGTTAATTAAAAAACAACATCACATTCTGCTCCTGTGGTCCCAGTTCACATGGAGAGGCCCGTCAGCCATGGACCCACAGTGAACTGCCTGCTGGCCCTTCTCCCCTCTCCTCTCTCGTTGCCCAACAGAAGAGCTCGGGATTCCCTTCCACCCGCTCCCACTGGGTCAGGAATGGTGGAAGATGGAGCTTCGTGGGCCTTAAGCCTCCCATGCGACTGCTCTAGGTCCAGGTGGACTGCTCCGGGCCAGGGAAGGGCGTTTCTTGCTGCTGGCTGCTGCTAGCCATGCTGCTCCTTCCTGAGCCACCCTGCTGTACCCTGAGCTTACTGATGCCCCACCCTTCGACCTGGAAGCTCCCCTCCTATGGTCCTAGGGAAGAATCCAGAGGCCTGTTCAATGTTAGAATAACCCCAGTGCCCAGCATGGCCACAGAAGGCCACCCACATCCTGACAACAGCATTTTCAGCAGCATTTGGCCACAGGGGAACTCGGGCCTGGAGTTAAGGGAGAAAAGTCGAGGATACGTGTTGCTTATTAGCTTTCATGAAGGAATATCTGTGGGTGCGTGTGAACACATATAAACCCGAGTCTGAACGTGGGTGTACGTTATTCTAATAATCGGGACTTAGAATCCATAACCATATGGGGGGTGTCCCTTGTTTAGCCCACTTCCTACAGGGCCGTGTCCTCCCACAGGTCCTTTGCAGCCAGGGGAAAGCGTGGCCCTCATGCTACGTCCAAGAAGGGTGAGCGGCAGTTTTGTAATGGCCTAAGGCTGCGCTCATGGGAAGTCAGCATTTTCTGTTTTATATGAAGACATGAAGCTTGAACGGATTCAGTGTCTGATGATTTGACTTGGACGTGAAATTCCATCCATGGGACTCTCTTTGAGGACAGCGGCCAGGGACCACTATTAAAGCAGACTGTGGCTCAACAAACTGCACGTGGCATGTTTTTGAGAATAATGTTCTCGGTTGTTGTTCTGGGGTTCCCTGGACCCTCCCGACACTCCTCGGGACCCCAGTGTGAGCCTTGCACTCGCCCGTGGACAGGAGGGACAGTGGAAAGGCAGGGAGGAGGCGGGGCCGGTACCCACCATTCGGCTGGCTGGTGGGATTCGGGGTGATCTTTGTTCCCTTATTTTCTAAGTTCTTTTTAGTCTTTCTGTGAGGAAAATATAGGTAGACCACATAAAGCGGGGGGAATGGGTACCCGAGAACCTAAGTCCATCCAGATCTGTGCCTTCCGTAGCTCCAGGATGCAGAGGCCAAGGCCTCCGAGGAGGACCCCAGGCTGTGTGTCCGGCGGCTCGGTCACCAGATGCAGACCCTGAAGTGCCAGCTCAGAGACCAGGGGTGGGCGCACTGGGAGCGGCAGGAGGAGCTCAAGGGCAAGGTAGGCGGGGCCAACACCTCTTCGTGGGGAGCACTCTGCTCCCAGGGCTTGGTAATGTCTATTAGATATTTAAATATATGTTGGTGTAAGGAAGGAAAAGAAGGGGACTGTCATTCCTCCAACCAGTAGTTTCTGATAAATAAAATTTTTAAATGCACACATATATGGTTTTTACACAGCCTTAAAGTTTACATAAAGAAAGGTCAAGCCCTTGCTCTGCGGGAACGGGGTGGGTGTGTCCTGAAAGGCCTGGAGAGGATTCCTGCGCTGTCGCAGCTACCAGGATTAGGGTGTGGTGGCCACATGCAGCCTCCATGGGGTGAAATTGCATTGACCGAGCACATGCTCATGTGAAACCACAGGAGCCCAAGTAAGGTCAGGGGTGGCATCGACGCAGTCCCTCATTGGACATTACACTGCAGTCTTACAAAATGTTCCTGAGGAGGAAACTAGACAAAACACACAAGGGATCTCTCCATCATGTCCTACAATTGTATGCAATTCTGAGATTATCTCAAATTTTAATTAATATGAATGGATACATAATAATTGTGCACAGTCTTTCACATAGAAAATCCTAAGGAGTCCATAAAACACTAGAACTGAGGAACAATTGGATATGTGATTTGAAAGGCAGTTTCTCCTCATCTACAGCTCATCTTCTCACTTTTTAATTGCAAACGTCCACACACTCATTCCAAAGCAACACATTCATGCCATTTCCTAAACCAAGGTGGGGAGAAGGTCTCACGGAATCCTGCAAATATCATTAAGTGCCTTCTGAATATGAGACAGACTGCTTGAAGCTGAAATTTTGCATATATTCCAAAAGGTATCCCCAAACAGGCTTATAGAAATATCCATGAAGGCTTGTTTATTAAGCAAAGAAATGGAAGCAGAAAAATTCCCATAAACAAAGAAGTGGTTTGTTTCTGCCTCATGGTGGAAGAATACTCATGTTTGAAAGGGATGAGGTCGGTTTGCACGTGTTCCTGTGGAACTCGCACCAGGGTTTTCCATCAAACGACAAACACGATGCAGTGTATTTTGCATAGTGTAATTCTGTAAGCACACACACACGCACACGTACACACACGTTCTGATGCATGTGGGCATGGGAGGCTGAAGGAGTATCTTAGGCCAGAAGAGGTTGGGGACCTCTAATGTAGCTATTTGGGTTTTCACTATTGGAAAGCGCTCAGGCATAGCCACAGCCTCACATCTAATGGGGCAGGATTTCAGATGGGACTCGGCTGGGCACAAGTGGGGGTTACTCGGTGGTCACTCACTGGACGCTGGACTAGGCTGGAGGGTCCAAGGTGGCCCCATGCACATGTGCCTGGCACCTCTGCAGGGTGGCTCAGGGGCAGCACACCCAGACCCTCTGCCCTCTGTTTTGGGCCTGTCTTGTGTCTTACTCTGAAAAGGGTTGAAAGTGGACACTCCAGTCCTCTTGAAGGCCAGGCTGGGTGTCACTTCTGCTGTTATGGGAGCCAAGCACCACGGGCCAGACCAAATTTGAGAGAGGGTCCTGACTCCCCTCTCTAGGAGCCGCTTCAGAGCAACTGTGTCCACCGTTAGCCCCCAGGCATGATGAAGAGAGCTGCCATCCACCGGGTGCCCACTGAGGCCAGGTTGACTCTCAGTCTTTCTGTCATTCAATCCACAGTGTCCTCGCTGCAGGCCTCACCCTGAGTGGACAGTGACATCCCCCCAATTGGTGAAAAAACTGAGGCAGAGGGACTGGCAGGGGGTGTCAGTGAGTGGCTGAGTGGTGCCACCAGGCTGGAAGTCTCTGGGCTCTGTGAGGGGCTCGGGACCAGGCGTCCTTCCCCACGGAAGCAGCCTCAGAGCTGGCCACTGAGACGCGGCCTGGCAGAGTGCCTTCTGCAGGGCCACAGCCTCCGTCCCGCTCAGTGGGGATGGAAAAGGCCCCGTTCCTGGCCGAGTCCTCATGCAAGGAAAGGGGGCGAGGAGGCAGGGGTCAAGCCGAGCCCACTGCCCGGGGAGGCCGGGGATGGCCAGCAGCGGGGCATGATGTGACCAAGAATGGTTCCTTCGCAGCTGGAAGAGCTCCAGAGAAAGCAGCATGAGGCCGACGTGGCTGTGGCCCCGCTGAAGGTGAGGGGACCGTGACGTGAAGTCAGCGCCACCTGCCTCCTTCAAACCGCCTTTGCATTTCCCATCCCCCGGCACACAGATGCTAGACTGAAGGGGGAAGGAGAGAAAATCCCCCACGTCTCTGTTTGGAGCTAACGTTCCACATATTTCCTCCCACGCCTGAGATCAGCCACCTTCATCAGCCAAGTGACCCACATGCTTGGGTCCTGCCTGGTGGCATGATCCTGAAGGTGCCACGCACTGTGACCTACCCTCCAGGCCTTGGCGGTGGAGAGTGCTCCAGGGCTTCAGTTCAAAGTGCCCTACTGGTGGCTTTGCCGTTCAGTCCTGGCTGGTGCTCGGTGTGTCTGTCTCTCCCTTCCCCCTGCCTCTCTCGATGTCCCACAAGAACACTGACTTGCATTTTCCTTGGAGCGTCCCCACCCATCCTGACGTGAGCCTCTGGGACAAATTCCTAAGAACGGCTCTGTGGCCTGCGGGCTTCCGTGTTCTCTGCTGGGGGCCTGGAAGCTGGCTAGGGTGACACCTCCCATCTGGGCCTGGATCGGGAAGGGTGGGAGGGTCTGTTCTTCCCTCTGGTCTCTGGGCGGGTGGACAGGGAGGAGCCTGGGCGTCAGCAGAACATGGTGACACCAGGACCCCCACAGCCCTCTGCCCTTTGGGCCTCTGTTTCCTCAACTGTTCAATCAGAAGTGCAGGCCGCACAGTCCCTAAGTCACGTCCCTCCCAGAGTCCCCATCCCATCTGAGCTTCACCTGTGCCTCTGTGAAACAGAAACCTCAGTGATTCCTGCTGAGAACTCATGGAAAGTCAACTGTCAAGCTCAAAAGCACAGGGCTGCCACCCCGCCTCTGGGTTTATCATTTGTCACATGCCACTGGTTTAAACGAGGACCCTGGTCCCTTGTGCTTAACAAACGAGCACCCTGTGGAGGCTGTGTCTGCAGGTCTCCTGGTGCCCTGGACAGCCCCGTGGCACAGAGGGGCACATCCAGGTGTGGAAGGGAGCCTGGCCTCAGCGATAGGGCCCAGGTCCATGCTCTCCACCCTGGACCCATCGGAGGGCAGCAGGGAGCCCTGGGGCCGGGCTGCTGGGTGGAGGAAGCATGCGGGGGGCTGCTGCCCTGGGCTGAGGCAGAGCTGGGTGTGGGAAGCAGGGAGCTGCCCGCCCAGGTCCCCCAGCCCTGCCGTGCAGCCCTGCGGGAGCTCTGCACCCACATTCCTCTTCTGTCAGGCCAAGCTGGCTTCCCTGGTCCACAAGTGCCTACGGAGGAACCACCTCATCACCCGGCTACTGCAGGAGCTGGGCAGACACGGGCCCGTCGACCTCCTGCTCTCTGAGATGGCCCAGAACATGGTCCACGACGTGGCACTGTCCGAGTATGCTGCTGCCTTCCTGACCCCTGGACTCTCAGAGGTACATTCCCACAGACAGCTCCGTCCAGCCCTGCCAGCCCCGTCCAGGCCTGCCCAGCCCCGTCCAGCCCTGCCAGCCCCGTCCAGGCCTGCCCAGCCCTGTCCAGCCCTGCCCAGCCCCATCTAACCCTGCCCAGCCCTGTCCAGCCCTGCCCAGCCCCGTCCAGCCCTGCCAGTCCATCCAGCCCTGCCCAGCCCCATCCAGCCCTGCCAGCCCATCCAGCCCATCCAGCCCTGTCCAGCCCTGCCCAGCCCCATCCAGCCCTGCCAGTCCGATCAGCCCTGCCAGCCCCGTCCAGCCCTGCCCATCCCTGTCCAGCCCTGCCAGCCCCATCCTCCGCCTCCCTCCAACTCCACCTGGCTGTTCCCCTGGGCCAGTGCCTGGGCTCCGGGATGGTGGGCAGGTGCACCTGGCAGTCCTTTACCCTGAAAGTGTCCATGGCACAGTGCACGGGATGGACCCAAAGAGGGATCATAGCTCAGTCCCAATCATGATGTCATGCCACCCATGTGACTGCTATACACCGTGACTCTGGGCCTTGGCCCTGCCACCTCCTGCAGGAGACATGGTCCATCAGCAGCCTCCATCTGTCCTTCAAGGACATCCCGTGTGTCCTTGCCCAGGCAGTGGCCCTGAATCTTCAGGACTACAATTAGCCACACCGCCTCTCTGTCCTCCTTGCATGTGACTTGTGTGACGTGGCACATGTAGGGGATTGTCCCCATGTTGCCTGAGGAGTTCCTTGGCACCTCTTGGCTGGGACAGAGACACTCTGTAGCACTCTGTCTCTTTAGTGCCTGGCACCGAGAAGCTGCTCGGGGTTTTTGTTGAGTGATGAGCTAGTGAGACAGATGATGAGGGTCTCCTGTCCTGAGGGTCAACAGAAGAGGAGACTGAGGCCGTCAGTTCAGGAGTCTCACCACAGGCCACGGGGTGAGGGGCACCAGTTCTCACTGGTCCAGGTCCAGAGGAGGCCCTTTCTGGGCTCTGCCTGGCGCTGAACAGCAGCATCTTGGGTGCCCATGGGTGCTCAGCCAGGTCTTCCCACGCACACACATGCAGCCCCGTTCCTGGGGACAAGCCAGCTACGCCCCCACCAGTCTAGTTCTGCTCCTGATGGTGCGAGGACAAAGCACAGCTCTTGCAGTCCACAGTGGGAGGTGCCCCCTGGCTGCTCTTGCTCCAGCCCTGGCTGCAGGGCTTCCTGGCTACACCACCCATGCAGCGGCTCCTCCTGGTGCCCCTGGCTCTGCCCCAGCAGGACAGTCTTCTCCATCCCTTCCTTACCCCACCCCCGACTCCGAGAGTCCTAGATGCCCCCCAGGCCAAACCACTGCGCGGCCCAGGAGATGGAGAGCTGGGGCCCACCAGGCCTGCCTAGGGCCTCGGTGACGTGGTGCAGAGCCAGAGCTTGAATGCAGAGCCCCAGACTCCAGGTCTAGTGCTCTTCTCTGCCCCAAAGTTCATGCTCTTCGGAGCTGGCATAGGGATGAGGAAAGAGGGTAGAATCGTGAAGTGCCTGACATAGTCCCTGGCACTCAGTAGGGCCTAATACTGTGTCGAGTGAGGCAGGACTGAAGCAAAGTTCCAGGAAGTGTGGAATGCAGTGTGGGGGCTGCTGACTGTCTGCAGAGCAGGCGTGTGGCAGCAAGGGCCCCACTTCCCCTTAGTCTGCAGGCCCAGCAACGACATCCAAAATGTTCACTGGGATTGGCCAGGCTGACTGACGAGGACTGAGCCCAGACACTGAGGCATAAGTCAGAGCATTAACTAATTAGTTAATTATCTAGGAAAAAGAACTTTAGCAGAAGTTCAAGTATTTTTTGAATCATTGTAGTTATTTGTGACATGGGCTGGGATTTGTTGCAGGCTGAAGTATCTTGCAGGCGAGGTGCAGGCGATGGATAAATATGTCAGCACATTCTTTTCCTCTAGTTATCCAGAAAGTCAAATTCATAATCAGTGTGTTCATTTGTTAGTTGGTAACTGTTTACAGGCAGAAGGTCACTTGGGAGCCTGGAATGAGAACAGGGAGCGTTGCTGCTGTCACTGGCCTGACGCCTCCATTTCCTGTGAGGATGTTGTCCTGGGCTGGACGGGCCTCCCCTCAGCCAGGATCCAGTCCTTTGAGAGGCCACTGTCAATTTCCACAATGCCAGCTGCGCTGGCCTCTGCATTCCTGTCCAGTCTTGACTGAGCCCAGCCTCGCTCCCTCTGTTGAGGTGGCTTTTGTCCTTCCTGATCCATCTGGCACTATTCAGAGGACACCCCCAAGTGCATGGTCTGCAAACCCAAAACCTGGCTCTGCGGTTTCACGCCACGCACTTAACTGAGCACCTGCTGGCCTGAGCTAGGCCTGGTGCAGGTCCTGGGGAGAAGTGGAGACCAGACAGGCCAACACCTGCACATGGACCAGGGAGGGGTGACGGCGCCTCATGGTGAGCATTGGGAAAGAAACATGCCCGGGTTCAGTCGGGTGCCAGCTCACACAGGGTGTTCTCTGAGCCTTCACTTTCTCATCTGTAAAATGGGGATAGTTCAGCTGCTGGAAAGAAAGGTGCTGAAGCCTTGTGCGGGTCAGAACCTGGTCCTTGTATGGGCAGATGCCAGGGCCTGGGGTTCCTGAACCTCTTAGCTCTGCCACTGTCTAGCTCTGTGACCCTGGCAGAGGACACTTACAGATCATGCTGGCCACACCAGGACATCACTGTTATTCCTCTCAAAAGGCTCAAGGGGGTGCCAGCCTTGCTCAAAGACACACACCTCTAAGTCGCCATCTAACTCAGCCTCCGTATATGCAGAGAAGGAGCTGGGCTTGAACGTGGCCGTGGGAATCTGCAGGGCTCTGCAAGGACTGCCCCAGGGCAGGCTGGGTGATCGTTGCTGGGCAGGGCTGGGGGAAACTGGGCGGCAGGTCTGGGTCTGGCACCTACCAAGCCCTCGGGGGGGCAGTCCCTCTTGGGGCTGGAAGGCCAGGCTTCAGTGTGCAGAATCTGTCCAGGTATAGGCAGGAAGAAGGAGGAGGAGGAGGAGGAGGAGGAGGAGGAGGAGGAGGAGGAGGAAGAAGAAGAGGAGGAGGAGGAGAAGGAGAAGAAAATCCCCAGAGGATGCCTATGGTGGAGGCCGGACACAAGGAGACTGCCCAGGAGGGAGGTCATAGAAGAGGGAGAACATGGCCCTGACCATCCTGCAGGCGCATCTGCACTTAGTTCTTCACTGAGGGGAAGCTGCTGGAGGAGTTGGGTGGGTGGGAGTGGTTTGGGGAACCTGTCCTCCTGCCTCCTGGGAACACCTTGTTTCCTAGTGGGCACAGTCAGGGAGACCCACGTGGCCTCAGAACCAGGGCCTCATTGGGAGAGGAGTGTGGAGACTGGGATAATGGAGCAACCCCTCAAAGCCCTGAGCTCCCTGCAGTCATGAAACCGGCGACCACAGCCCAGCCTCCAAGGGCTCAGGCAACGGTTTTCTCCTTGGCTCCTGCCCTTGAGGATTGTTCCTGGAAAGCTCTGTGGGCACTGCTCTCTGGAGCTCTGGAGGTTCCTCTCTCCCTTCAGCAGGACTTGCACGGAGGCCGGTGGGTCCTGCCCTGCAACCGGGGTAGGAGGTGGGTTGGGAGAACTCCCCGACTCAGCCGAGCTCCCGGAACTTGTAACTGCAGAGCTGGGTTGGGCCTGGGATGCCCTAGTCGCCAGGAGTCACGTGCCTGTCTGGCCCATCAGAATGCAGAGCCGCAGCAGCCAGTTTAGTGCATGTGCAGCTTTTCTGGGGATGTGAGGGCAAATGGAACCTTGTTGTCACAGGGGAGGAGTCGCCACCCAGGGAGGGTGCCTGGCTCTGACCCCGAGTCAGCGAGGGCAGTGGTTGGGAGCAGCCGTGATGAGCAGAGCCGGGGCCAGGTGGGGCTGTGCCCTGGAGGAGGAAGCTCTGGACCAAGCCTGGGAGGAGCAAAGGCGCTCCAGCTGGACAGCTGGAGGGGTCCTGGGGGCTGGGAACCTGCAGCTACAGAGGCAGGGCCTGCAAGTTCATGTGCTTGAAGACAGCTGCGTCCGAGGGGCGGAAGGGAGTCCAGGCTTCCCTGCTGGAGTGGTGCTCTGCCCATGAGCCACTGTCGACAAACCACAGGCTGACAAGCAGTGGACAGGTCTGACCGCCCAGGCGTAGTGGGGCCGCAGGCAGAGGCTGCGGTGCCTGCCCAGCCCCCCATGATGGCCTGCCTGAGAGCCCAGGGGCCACGGCGGCCCCTTCTGGAGAAGAGCCAAGGTCTCAGGATGGTGCCCACCGAGTTCCTATTGACCTGGAGCCCCATAGGTTAGGCACCCTCTGTGCTCCAAGCACGGGCCAGCAGAGGTTTCCCCAGGCACAGCGGTGGGCTTGGGGTGTCAAGCTGAGCAGGGTCCATGCCCTGGGGGTTGGTCAGTCTGCGTGAGTTCTGGCTGCTGCCTGGTCTGGGCTCTGTGACAGGCAAGTGGCCGAACTGTGCCAGGAGCTGGCAGGGAGGGCCACTCAGGGCCTGACACACTCAGAAGGTCCCCAGGGAGCAGGAGGCTTCCAGGCAGGGGCTGAGCTGGGCCAGCACACAGGGGGCTCTGGACGGGTGTTGAAATGGAGAGGGGAGGGGACATCAGGGCTCCGTCCTGCAGGCCACTGCTCCACCAGAGACGCCCCAGGGGAAGCAGGGTCTGGGCTGCTGGTCTGGAGCTAGCTGCAGTCTGCCCTGAGGATCCACAGTTGTCTCGTTCCACTGACTGGGGGCTGCCGGGGTGACCTGCTGAGTGGCCACTGCTGTCCCTCTTACAGACCCTGTGGGACGGTGTGGCTGTGGGTGCAGGAGGTAGACTCAGGCTAAGTCCCACCGGAATCCCCATGGGACAGCATCAGGGGCCCCAGGAGATGCTGAAGTCCACATTAAAGTTTATTTTAATGGCAGATTCTTAAAAGCATTTGTTACCAGCTCCATTTAGAGATTTGATAAGTAAATGAACTGTTTCCTTGTGAGTATCTCCTGGGAGCAGGGAGGGAGGTGCCCGCCGCCCCCTCCAGCAGAGCTGATGCCACCCCAGACTCTGTGCGGGGCCAGCAGCCGCCCTGAGAGCCCCGGCTTTGGGCTTCTGAGCAAGGCTTTCTGTCCTGTGCCAGAATGACCACTCGGGTATCTTTTCTTCCAGACAAGCCCCCACCTGGACGTCGGCTCCCAGGGGACAGCAGCTGCAAGAGGTCAGTGCAGTTTGCAATGAATCTGTGTATGCAGAAAAAAAATCCTGGCCAGCAGGACCGCCGGTGGAGTGGGAAGGGTCTGTCCACTGTCAGGTTCACACTACTGAAGGCGTGAGGCCCACCCCTCCCTCACCTTGGACACTTGGCCTGCCCTTCACACAATTAAGAACACAATGGAAGCATTCAGAAGGCCCAAAGCCCCAGCCCTGCAGTTTCACCATAAGTGTCATTTCCCTCCTTGGCCCTGAAATTCACTCCAAGTGCATAGTTGTCTGTGTGAGAATCCACGGGATGCATCCAGAGGGGTGAAGGGGGCTGCCCTCAGCAAGCTGACTCAGCATCCTCAGTGACGCACCTCCTTCACTAGAGGCGCTGAAGGGTACCCAGTGGGGGCGTGAGGGCTGCAATATTCTACTAAAGGGAAGCAAGACGGCACCCGGAGCACTCTGTGACCACAGGTGGAGGGTACACAGACCCGAACGTGATTGGCAGCCACAGCTGCTCAGAGTTAGGGCAGCCTGAGTGGCTTTTCTGTTGTTTTTTATCAAGAAATTAAGATGCTACCTGACCAGACAAAATTTCCCTGAGCCTTAAGTGGTGCTTACTATCAGGTGGGGATGGGGCAGGACTCACCAGTAGCACGGGAGGAGGTGGAGCACACAGATTTGTTTAGGCTTGTGTGCTAGCAGGTGAGTGTGGATGGTGTTACCCTGAAGACTAACTCGCTCTCTTCAAGTCTGTTCATGTGATCTGGGATGGGTTCATTAGCCTCTCTGAGCTGCAGGCTCCTATCTTCAAAAGGAGGATACTGTGGTCTTCCCTTTTGGTGCCCTACACATAGCAGAGTGTAGGCACACGAGAGGAAGGAAAAAGAATGGGGAAGGCGTCTTTTCAGCCCAAATCTATGGGAGGGGGCGGCCCTCGGTGTCTGCTTTCTTTCCCAGCAGCCTGGTGGGTACAGTCTTCACAGTTGGAGAGGTACAGGTTCTAGCTGGTCCCAGCTCCGCCACTTACTCCAACTTTCCCTGCAGCCTCAGGGAAGTCCCCTCCCTCCTCTGGCTCAGCTTCCTCATCTTTCAAGGAGACCGGATGGAGAGGTGTCTGGGCAGGTGTCCGGAGGGTGCCATCCTCCCTGAGAGAGCTGGCTGGGCGGACACTGCACTGCGGGCTGTGGCCAGCAGGGGGAGGCAGCCGCCAGGCAGGGACAGTCTCAGGAGGGGCATGACACTCAAGTTCAAGGGCATCTGCTGTGGTGGTGGGGACCTGGAATGGCCAGGGACAGTGGGAGAATGAAGGAGGTTATCATGGGACTCAGAGACGGTGCTTCTGAAGCAGATCCCGGGGCCGAGGCTTGACTGAGACCATCCCTTCTAGTTCAGGAACAGCTGCCGAGTTTTGAAACAGACGGTGTCCTCCAAAGCCCGTTGCGCTCAGACTCCTGGCCTTTTCCCAAGGCTGAGTGGCCAGCACCGACAGCTCGGCTGGATTCGCCAAAGGTGAGAGGACAACAGTCACCTACTTTTGTAATTTTGTTGTTTATTGAAAACATAGTGCAATTATCAAAGTGCAGTCATTTTCCAAGTGCTGCATTTCTATGATGCCACCGCAGGTCAGGAAACAAAACCGGACCAATACCCCAAGGGCCCCTGGTTTCCCATCCCAGTCGCTTTCTGTTGTCTACTTTTAAATGTTTGGTTTTGGTCAAATTGTGTGCTTTACACCTTGTTTTTGTTTTTTGGGGGGTTACCAGGATTTGACCTCAGCCACATCCTGAGCCCTTTTCTGTATTTTTTTTTAGAGAGAGGGTTTACTGGGTTGTTTAGTGCCTCACTTTTGCTGAGGCTGACTTTGAACTCGCAATCCTCCCGCCTCAGCCTCCCGAGCCCTGGGTGCCACCAGGCCAGGGCCGCCTTGCTATTTTCTAATGCGAGCTGGGAACCTGGAGCCCTCATTTGAGGTTCTGCCCGACGGAGTCTGCACCCACAGAGGACTCCTCTTTGCTCTAACAGGGTGGGCCTGGCACTCAGCCCTCACACCAGACTGATTCCAAGACGAGTCCCAGTCCCGGGTCTCTCTGCCCTGTCCCCTTCACTCCAACTCCTGGGGCACGAAAGCCATGGTGCTGTCAGGGTCCGCCCCTGGCCCCGTCCACCCTGTGGGCTGCTGGGAGCTCCCGTCACCCCACACCCCTCAGCTATCTGGCTCACCAGGAAGCTCTGCCCTCTGTCCTCGCCCGAGGGGACAAGGGACCTTGGTGCCCTGCTCTCTCCTCTCCTGCTTTCCATTTCAGCACCTCATATTCCCACGGCCTCAGTAGCTCCCAGGTCATTTCAAACCCATGATTGGTCACATGGTGTCTAGATTTTCTAGTTCTACTTATGGCGGGTTTGGTCCAAAACCCGCACTTCCGGGGCAGCACCTCGAAGGCTCCCAGGCAAAGCCTACTTAACTTGTGAGCTCTGGGGCCTGGAGATCTGAGTTCGAATCTCAGCCCGGCCCCTGCTAGTTCAGTGGGATGTTGATCTGTCTCTGGGTGGAAGAGGTGGCCGAGCCGCGGAACAGAGCTGTGCGCCCTCATCTTTTTACTTCAGCCTGCTGGTATTTACTTTTCCCATCTTTTAATCCTGTGGCGTCTTTCCTGTCCCTATGGTCAATTTTTTATATAAAAAACAAAGACAGCGATCCTTAGCTCTCAGATCTTTGGGACAATTCGATGACCTTGTGCATTTCAGTATTTATTACAGGAGAAGCATCCTCAAGGGTAGCTATTGCTACCTCCGTAAATCAAAAGTCTTCTTTTTCTGACAGGTGGACTGCACTTGAGTTCTTGGTTCAGGCTGATCATCAGCTAACAGTAAGAACTTCTTTCCACCTTGATCTTCCTGTAGAAGATCCCCTCTAACTGGGTTTGCCCTGCGTTATCCACAGAAGGCGCTGCAGGCAAAGACGGGCGGGTGAGCACGTGGGGGATTGCAGGCCATCCAGGGTGGCTGCAGCAGGGGCACCAGGGAGCAGAGAGGTACCAGGAGGTGAAGAGAGCCCCAGCACAACACTGGCAGGAGCACCAGCCTCCCCGTGCCCTGAGGGAGGGGTGCACAGAGGAGACCAGTCCAAGGTGCCAGGCTGGGCCCAAACTGGGCCCCTGGCTGAAGGTCTGCCCTGGAGCCCAGGGTGGGGAAGAACCTGTTCTCAGGGACACAAGGCAGAAACCCACACAGAGGGCTCAAGGACACAGGCCAGCGTGCGGGAGGGCAGGAGGCTGTGGTGCCCCCCAGGGCCCTGGGGTCCACGCCTCTCAGCTGTTCTGGTCCTTCTTTAGCACCACCACCCGGGGTGGAGATCTTGTGATGGAATCTGTCCCGAGCACGGGGACCTTGGTTTGCTGGTAGCTAGATGACAATGTCAGTCTCAGGGTAGCAGGCTGCGTGGCCCTGGGAGGCCTTCGCCACCTGCAGGGTGCAGGTTGGGCTCTTTCCCTAGGAGGCCCTGGGCACCGCGCTTGTCCCCAGCATTGCAGGTCAGGCTTTGCTCTAGGTCCTGGTCATTGTCGTGGGCAGCTGGGAACAGAGTTCCCTGCCCTGGGCAGGAACAGACTGTGGGCCACATGCCAGGCTGTCTTGGGAAGGGCCTCCCGGGTGAGAAGGGACGAGTTAGTAACCATGCCAGGGGATCCTGGCCTACAAGGAAAAGCAGGTCACGGAGTATTGAAGGGCAGCAGCTAAATTTGTCACAGGTCACAGTCATGTGGCTGAGCTTGGGGAAAGAGGAAGAAGAGGCAGGAGGGCTGAGAACACACACCTCCCCACAGGCTGGGAAGCCTGCAGACGGTGAGGCCGGCTAACCCTCCAAAGTCTACACAGCCTGACCCTGTCACCCTCAGGGCCGCGTCCGGCTTCAGCAGTAGACAGCCGTGGGGAGCAACGCAGCTCTGGAGCCACGAGGTCTGAGTTTGAGTCTTGGCTCAGCTTCCTTAGCTGTGTGGCATTGGACAAATCACTTAGCCTCTCTGGGCCTCTTCTTCTTCATCTGTGTGTGGGGTAATAATACTTCCTTGTGTTGTTTTTATTTTTTATTTTTAGTGTAGGTCAAACGAATCAACATGGAGTGTGTTATCATGGCAAATCCTAAGAGCTCAGTCACTGTCCCAGGTCGTAGGAAATTATTAGAGTATTCTTTCCCTAAAGAATAAGGTAGTGCTGAATGCTTTAAAGTGTCATTATCATCAAGACGAGGTGAAGCGCAGACTCCTGGAGCTGGGGTTGCCTCCACGGGGGCTCCTGTGGCACTGCTCGGTGGTTCTTGACACCTGGTAGAACTGCTCCTCCTCCTGCCCGGCTCAGCCTCCCCACTCCCTGTGCAGCCGCCGCCCTCCTGGGTGCCCGTCTTGCCCACGGGTGCGCCTTCCCTGCAGCTCTGCAGCGGGCTTGTTCATTGTGTGCCTCGCCCGCCGTGGGTGTCCCCGGGGGTGCTGGCCACTGTGCCTGGCACCTGGGGAGGCACAGAGCTCAGGGCTCCTCTGCTGCCGGCTTCCTCCTCGGGCAGACAGCACTGAGCAGGCACAGCCACCGCTGCCCCCGCTCCTGCCCCCTGCTCCTGCGAGCCGAGGAGCTTGCTGCTTGCTCCATCCTGGGGGCCCGGTTGGGAGCCGCAGACCGGCCCCACACCCCAGCAAAGGGGAAGGAGCAGGCGCATCTGCTGCCCAGCGAGGTCACTTCCTGTCTTTCCTGGGAGGAGCTGCTCCGAGGATGTGGGGTGCGCTTCCTGGAAGACAGCACCTGCGCCTCGCGGCTGGCGGAGGACGTTCAGAGGGAGGGGAGTCAGCCTCCGAGGGCCTGGGGTGGACGACACGCACGTCAGTCCCAGCACTCAGACAGGTGCTGGGGGTCTTGAAACCAGGCCCGTTTCCGGTGGGTGTGGGGCCTGGTGACAGCCTGCTGGGGGCGTTTACTGTGGTGGCATGTTCTCGGGCCCTGTAGGAGCTGCCCCTGAGGTGGGCATCTGGAGAACAGACGGGAAGCTGGTTTTCTCTTGTCTCTGGGACAAGAAGCCTATTGAGGACGTCCACTCAGTAGGGCCAGCAGCAATCGTACTGGCGGGCACCTGCTGGATGGCGTGTGTGACAGGCTCCCCCACCCCCACCCGGGCTTCCTCAGCCACACCCTGCAATAGAAGGTGAGGGACACCGGGCCCAGGTGCAGAATGCTCAGTGAGAGCTGGTCATCTTTGTCACCTCTGCCTTGGAGAGAAGGCGTCGTCTGAGGGGCTTTTATGAACACGTCGTGCGGAGACCTTTTCTCTCTGCTCTCGCCCCCAGCCGCCTCTGCCCTCGGGGCCCACCCTGGATCCTGGACCTGGGCCAGCAGTGGTCACCGTGGAACCAGGCGGAGAGCCCCATCCTGGCCCCCACGCCCACAGCCTTCTGCCAGCCTCGGAGGTCCTGAGCCCGGCGAGGATCCTGGCTCTTCACCAAGAGCTCAGACAAAGCATTTGCGGCGATTCCCAGGTCAATAAATCACCGCTGCAGTTAGGAATTTAATAGAAGCACTCGTTCTCCGGGGCTTTTCATAGACTCCATAAATATTTGAAGCAGAACCTTCCGAGGGTGCTTTAAGAAATTGGTGGCAATCAGAGCTCTCATTTAGTGGCAAGCGGTTTTGCCTTTGGCGTAGGGACTTGTGTTCTCCATCAGGCTTGGGAGGAAAGCCGTGCCGTGCCCGCGAGTGTCGAGGAGTCTGGCAGCAGAGGCCAGCCATCGCCACCCCCTGCGCCAGGCCACCCCCTGCGCCAGGCCCCTGCTTCTCAGCCGGGCACCTTCATCCCCACGGCAAAGTGTGACCACGTCGGAGACATTTGGAGATCATAGCTGGCTGGCTGCGGCCAGGGGGACAAGGGCAGGGGCTGAAGGACGTCCTCCAGTGCCCACAGCGGCTCCAGGAGGGCCACCCAGCCGAGCCGCAGCGGTACGGAGGCCGTGGGGCCAGCGTAGTCTGGCAGCCGCGGCTCCACCAGGGAGAGCGGTCTCACTTTCTGCCCCCGGGCCCCTCCCCCTGTCCCCCCCCCATGTTTTAGGAGGTGTTTCCTCCTCTAGAAATCACACACTTTACATTAAAACACTAAAGACGATCAGAAATTTGTAATCAGCCCATTCGCTCCAAATCTGTTGATCCGGGCAGCTCAGTAGGAGTGAAAGACACCAGCAGTGTTGGCCCTGTCCCCACAGGGCCACCAGAGACACACACATGCCCATCATCCGCTCTGCAGTCCCCGGCTGCCCTGCCGGAGCCACAGGCCAAGGGAAGGGCAGCGCTGCTGGGCTGGCGAGGACAAGTCAGCCGCCAGCGAAAGGCCGGGCTACCTGCCCACTGTTCCCTCCTGGAGGAGGGGACGTCTTCATGTCAGGACGAGGGAGGACGGGGATGAGGAATGGGGCTCCCAGGAGGTGGGCAGAGCACCCAGATTCTGTTTAAACACGGCAGCACAGGGAGTCCCGCCCCTTCACGTGTCACCTGACTGACCACGGAGCAATTCTAGAAACGGGGGGTTCATTCCCAGGAAAGTTGGGGCACCAGTGACAGGTGCTCCTGGGCTTGCGTCCGTTCCGCATGGGCTGCGGGTGCTGTGAGCGGTCGCTGTGTCCACCCCGCACTCCTAATGGCCAGTGGCTCTGCCACCAGGTATCGGTGAGCATCGGGGGTAACTGTGAAGCGAGTGCGCTCCTGCCCGGGCGCTGGGAAAGAGTGACAAAGGAGAGGCCGCTGGTCTCGCCACTTGGGGACTCCGGGACCCCTGCCGCCCCTCATGGGGCCCCAGATCAGAAAGCCTGCTGCGGTCACTTCTTAAAGTCTTGAAATGTAACTGACACCTCTGTGCCCACGTGTTCCGTGTCAGTCAGTTCCAACAGCGAGGCCCCTGCAGGCAGGTCAGAGGGTCACAGTGACCCCTCTTCGGCTCCTCCATCCCCCTGTATCTTGGAGCCTGGAGTGCGAGACGGCAAGGGAGAGGAGCAGCCCGGCCGGACGGAGCAGGGCTGAGGAGGCCAGTGGGGTCCCTGCTGGGCCAGCGGGGTGCAGAGTGGCTGTTTCTGTCTCCAGGACGCTCCCCCAGGCTCAGATGCCGGGTGACATGTCACTTGCTGCGCCCTCCTGCCTCTGCCCACATTCTGGGCCTGTCAGAGAGACCACCCAGGGGAGTCCCTCCTGGGAAGGCAAGACCACCTTTGCAGCCTGACCTGGTGACTCGGGAATAAGTCATTTCCCTGCAGTGGCGGCTCACAGGGCTGCCCTTGGGGCGTCTCCGCTGGGCCCGTCTTGTGATCTGATTCCTGGGCACCTGGCCCTGGTAGGGGACAGACTCCTGCCGTCTCCTCACCTGGTCCGTCAACCCGCCCTTGGGGGCAGGAGAGAGGACAGGCAGGAATGTGGCTTGCAGGAGCTGGTCTTGGGTACTCTGAGTGACCCCGAGGCTCTGGAAACCGACCAGATGGGCCAGCCCTGCCACTGTGCACAGAACAGTTTATCGACCGGCTGTCAGCAAGCTACGGTGGAGGACTTCCTGGGAGCTGGCGAGGTAAGTGCGGCCCTCCCCCCTGACACATGGGGCCGCCTGTCCCCCAGGGCATCAGATGGGAGGGCTGGCTGTGGGCCAGGCCGCAGCAGTGCTGAGTGGTCCCTCCGGGTGCCCGACTGGCGTGCCCGCAGGCTGCGCTGAGGCGCCGAGGCCTCCGGCCCTGCTGCCCTGCGCACCTCCAGGGCAGTGAGGCTGGGCTGCTCTCAGGGCTCTTGCTCCAGGTCCCTGTCCTCCAGGATTCTGCCAGACCATGGCCAAGTGGCCCGAGCAGGCAGAGTGCAGGAGACGGGCACAGAGCTGGCACTGACCCAGGAAGTGTCCCCGGGTGGAGCCCAGGAGGGGAGCAGGGATGCTCAGGGAGACGTCTCAAGGCAGGATGCCGAGAGCAGGGGAGCTTGTGGCCCTCAGCGCTGTCAGCGCCACCTGCGAGGGTGGTCTCCGGGATGAGCCGAGGGGTGAGGGCCAGCTGTCCACCTCCAGAGTCGCTGCGACTGGAAAGTCTTTCTGGGATGGCGACGGCGTCCCCAGGATCCGGGCGGTGGCCGGGGGTGAGGCGGGTGCTTAAGGGCCAGATGAAGAGGGTCACACGGTTATTTGATGCAGCAAAACTCGGGTACACGGATCAGCAACAAGGGGGGCCGATCTGTGGAATGGGTAGCCAGAGAGGGGGCTGCTACCTGGGACCCCTGACCAGCGCCCCAGGAGGGCGGCCCGCGGGTGTCTGTGTGCATGGGGCCTTCCAGCTGGGCGGGAGGGACACGCCGAGTGGGTGACAGGGAGGGAGGCTGGGGCTGGGGCAGAGGGACGCCCTCAGCTGCAGACCCGGGTGGCTTTGTCCGTGGCCTTCAGGGCAGGTCTGAGCGCGTCCGTCCTCCTTGGGTCTGCGCGTCGGTCGGGAAGGCTCCTGCTGAGCTGCCTGGGCTGCTGCCTCTGTTTGTCAGGCCTTTTAACACTGGGGACTCCAGCCCAGGCAGCTCCCTGTTCCTCCCAGCCAGGCGGCCGAGGTCAAGAGCTCTGAGGGCACTGTGTCTGTCTGGTTGTTCAGGTTGTGTACTGAGCAAAACATGTGGTCCGAGGGCAAAAGTGGTTGCCTCTGCTTGCCAAGGGCCCGTGCTGCTGGAGGAAGTGGTGCCTTTCACAGGCTCATCCAGAGATCACCTCAGCTGTTCTGGCCAGGGCCCGGCAGGGTCATCTCCTGGAAGGGGGCTGGCTTTGTGACTGACCGGAGGCTCTGTAGGACCCAGCACACAGTGTTCTCGGACTCCGCCCAAGGTGCCTCAGCAGCAATGTGGCAGGTCTTAGGAGAGGCTCTGGGGCCTCCTGTGGCAGAGGGGCCCTCATCTCTCAGGAGCCTGAACTATCCAGGGCCGTGTGGGGAGCCGTTCTCAATGGGAGGGCGGGATGGTGTCTGCTCTCGAGCCTGAGGAGGGTTCCACTGCCTGCCAAGACCTTTGGCTCCTCCCTTTGACCCCAAAGAGTCCAAACACCTGCATCCCGAGTCTTTTCCTAGGAATTTCCTGCAATTCCTTCCGAGCCAGCTTAAGAAGAGAGGAGCGTCTAGGACCAGAGCCCAGAGTCCATCAGGACTTCTGTTTCCTTGCTGTGTGTCTCCTATGGAGTCACTTACCCTCTCTGATCCACTGTAGCTGCAACCTCTCCACATGACCACCCAGCCTGAACATGCTGACTTCCCTGTGTGTGGTCTCTCCTGGGCTGCAGGGGCCAGGGCTGCCAGGCACTGCTTCCAGCTAGCGGCTGGGCTCAGGCTGCATTCTGAGGAGCCCCACAGCCTGGTCTTCCTGCAGCACACAGGAGAGAGAAGGCAGGCGCTGCTCTTGATGCCAGCCTCTGAGCCGGACCATCAGTTTCCATTGGCCAAAATAAGTCCCAGGAGCAGGTGGGGCCTCGGGGATGAGGATGGACACGTGACCCTGTGCTGTGCAGGATGCTGTGACCCTGGAACCTCCTACACTGTGGCCTGGGGCCTGTGCGGGGCCCTTGTGCCTCATGGTCCGTAGCTGTCTTTGGCAGCCCCCACAGGGTGCAGGATTCCCAGGCAGAACCAAAACAAAGGCAGAGCACCCTGCCTGCAGCAAGGGGGGCGGCCCAAGGCCTGGGACACCCGCCATGGGAGGACCCCGGAGAGTCACCCTGAACTTCTTTTTTAATCTGTCAAAGTCAGGATTCACCAGGCTGAAGATCTTCCCGGGCTGTATTTGCGCTTCCAGAATCAGCCAGCACCACGGGTCCCACTGAGCTGCGGAGGAGGCTGGCGTCCCAGACAGGGGGCCTGGGAGGAGCAGAGAGCAAGGGCAAGCGACAGGTGGCTGCAGTTCCTTTCCTCATAAGATGCAAACAGGACAATAGAAAAATAAGCCTTTGGCCAACGTCAGGCGCTTTGGGTTTCATAGGCTTTAGAGCAGACGGAGCGGAGACCGGCCTCCGGGAAACCTGCCTCCGACTCCCTGGTGTCCCCGAGAGGCGCACAACCGCGGGTCTTGGTTTGGTGACGTGCAGATTTAGCATGGCCACTCCATTTTGGTTTGTAGGCTGGTCCACTGGGCCGAGCGGGACCGTGGCCCAGAACAACGGCCTTGCTGCCTGGACACCTTGCCCTTTCCTGCATCCCCACGTGTGGGAACAGAGGCCTCCAGAAAGGGGGACCTTCTAATCGGCCAGCTCTTGTAGGAAGTCTGAATATTCCCCCGAGTTTCCTTAAGGAAGGGAAGTGGTGTGGGAGGGGATGAGGAATCTCCATCCTGCTCTCCAGAGTGGTCGCACCAATTGGCAGTCCCACCAGCCATGTGTGAGTGCGCCTTTCCCCCACAGCCTCGCTGACATTTATTGTTACTGGTATTCTTGATGACTGCCATTCTGACTGGAGTGAGGTGGAATCTCAGTGTAGTTTTGATTTGCATTTCTCTAATTGATGGTGATGTCGGACATTTTTTCATGTCTTTGTTGACCGATCATATTCCTTCTTCTGTGAAGTGTCTGCTCAGCTCCTTTGCTCATTTACGGACGGGGTTATTTGGTTTTTGTTGGTGTTGAGTTTTTTGAGTTGTTTGTACATCCTGGAGATTGGTGCTCTAGCTGAGGTGCAGGTGGCAAAGATTCTCTCCCATCCTGTAGACTCTCTCTTCACATTCTTGATTGTTTCCTTTGCTGTGAAGAAACTTCTTAGTTTGAATTCATCCTGTTTGATTCTTTATTTTACTTTTTGCACTTAGGAATCGTGTTGAGGAATTCGGTTCCTAAGCTGACATGGTGGAGAATTGGGCCTACATTTTCTTCTAGAAGGTGCGTGCCTCTGGTCTAATGCATAGATCCTTGATCCACTTAGAGTTGGGTTTTGTGCAGGGTGAGAGATGGGGGTCTAATTTTATTTTATTACATAAGGATTTTCCAGTTTTCCCAGCACCAGTTGTTGAAGAGGCTGTCTTTCCTCCATGTATGTTTATGGCCCCTTTGTCTAGTAGGAGGTAAGT